AGAAGTTTGGCAAGTTTAGTAAAGGCATACAACTACTGATAGATGCTGAAAAAAGTGAAAATTCATATTCCTGCAGCCATAGAAAATAGTAATGCATATTGTATCTGAGCTAGGAATTCCAAACAGGATTTCACATTTTGTATTGTCTAAAGATGTTTGAAACTTATCCTGTATATTGTGCCATGTGTTTACCTAACCTGAGAATTTTAAAAGTTTGAGTAAAACTATCTACAGTACTGACAAGATTAGTGTTACTTTACTTCTTAACTTCCATACTTAGTTGAAGGGCAGCAAAGAGATAAAAGGGGAAGGACTATGTTTCCTTACATTTCTGTGAATGGGGAAAAGCATTTTAAATGGCAAACTGGGACTTGCTTAATGAAAATAATTATTTGGGATATGGTATTGAAGAAAGAGCTATGCCTACAGTGCAAAGTATGGAAGTGATATAATTTATGCAAAGCATCAGAAAACAAAATACAGGAAATAATAGAATACTAACTGGTGGTTGGAAAAAAAAACAGGACAGGGAAAAGAATTATTAGGGCAAGTATAACTTGCTCCAATAGCAAGTGGTTATGGTGTGACTAATAATGCTCTCACTCATGTTTCCAGTACAGTGTGTTAGGATATACTAATAAATACAGCTTGACCTGATGTGAATGAAACAGCAACTTAACTGTATGTCTATAATCCCAATACAGGACACCTGAAAGAGCACTTAGTCTTGGATAGTAAAATTTTAAAAACCCAGCAAATTAAAGGAACTTGGTGAGCATTCAAATATAATGATACATAGCCTGTAATTAGGACTTCAAATTACATATATTTATCTTGTCTAATAACCTCTGCAAGAGTAGAATTATGATACATTTTTAGTTTCCTCTCGTGTACATATTTGTTATTCATCAATCTGCATATTTTCAAGATGAAAAAAAAGAGAAATAGAAATACTGAATAGATAAAGAAATTCCAGAACAGTGAAATTCAATGAAAATGTACATAAGAAAAGTGTTGCAGTCTCTGTCATGTCTGACAGGTAACCATGTAGTGTCTGAACTGGCTCATTTTTCATCATGCCAGTCAAATATGAAAGTTTGAAATAGCAACAATCACAGCTTGTGCAGTGGATGTCATTTAGTACAAAACCATAGATAGAATGTGTTTCTTGCATTTTCATCTGTCTTAACATCAGAAAACTTTAAAAGGTTCTTAGTCTTCTGTGTAGAAGTTGCTGATAGTTTCTGTCCTTCAGGTTATATCGTCAGTACATCTCTACTTCAGTTTGCAAACATGGAAAAAATAAACCAGATGAACCATTAAACAAAATACGTGTGATACTTTTTAACAAAACAACTGTGTCGTGTTTGTATATTTGAATTTTGTAGTGTGACTGAAAATCTGGCATCTTGAATGCACTTGCTGCTTTGGAATATATCTGGTTCATAGGAGTATATATACTGATCCATGCCTGCTAGTCATCAGTAATGGATGAGTAAGGAAAGAATGTAAAAGGGTAAATGTGGACTGGTTTGGGTTTTTTTAAACTCACGCTATTTTCTTTGCTGCTGGTGGAACATACTTAAGCTTTTCCTGAGGACAAGGTTGTAAAAAACAGGTCATTATACTGAATAGAATTTAATTGAGTTCTGTATCAGGCTTCTGTTTAGTCTTTTGAGCTTACTTCTGCTTTCAGCCTCCACAATATTCTCTAGCACTGTGTTTTACAACTTAGTTTTGTGTTTGTAGAGCAAGGAAAAAAAAATTTAAATTAAATTTTTGGTGTTGGATATATTTCCCAATTCCTGTATTTGTGAGACAGCAGAGAATAACTGTATCCTTTCCACATTTTGCATATAATTTATCAGTCTTTTAGATCTTTGCATCTGTTTGTCACTTTTCTCTCATACTCTCACTGAAGGCTGGAGTTTTAGCCAATTGGATACAAAAACTATTGATTATTCATACTGACTTTCATGCTGAGTTTTATTACTCTGAGAACTTTTTTCCACTGCTGCAAGTTTTCAGAGCTGTGAAGGTGTGGCAGAATAATGCCATGACATGGTGATGTTTCTGTTTCCTATTTCAGTCTTAATCATTTTTGAATTCTAATTTCTTTAACTATTGCTGTTGAGCTAGGGAGGTGAATGTTTATGGGATATTTGAAATGATTTTGTACTGATGCAGGAAAAGGCTGTTCTTTGACACCGTGGCTATGGTACATAACCATCAGTCATCTGTCAAGACAACATTATTGAGGAAAAGTCACTGAATTTCATTTAGAAAGAGTTAACATGAGACTTAAAGTAAATATCAAGATGCAATTTCCTCCTATTCTACCTCTCTATAGTGTATATTGAAAGAATAATAAAAGGTTTACCCAAATTACATCATCTCTTTGAAAGGTTCATGTTGCTAAGGGTAGCATTTATATGTGTTCACAAGTTGATTACAGTGACATAAATAACTTCATTTTGTGTGGAGGAGGCTGGGGAAAGCTGGTGTATGAGTTAGGGAGGTACTGCACTGAGCATCAGATCAGTTTGCCCTGTGTATCTCCAGAGTGACTCAGTGCTTCAGCTCTGATTCTGAAGAATGGGGATTTTGGTACTTTTCTCCTGTGTTGTATGTTGAGGATTTGACTAAGGGAAAACATGGAATTTATTTCTTTCAGTAATTGCAACTGTGTTGGGTAGCTCTCTTGTTAATTAGACTCTTTTTAGTAATTAAGTGTATGTGCAAGGGGAATGTATCTGCTGCACTCCAGATCTGCAAGGGTATGTGTTACCTTAGGGCAGTGTGAGGTTTTGTCTATAAGGGGTTTTTTGTGTTAATGCAATTTCTGGTGTACTAAGGTCCTCATCTTGGATTGGATCTATTGGCCACAGTACAAGTGGTAAGTGTGGTGTGCATAATGCCTTCTTTCCTCCAAGATAAGCACCTCTTCATTTTTTTTTGTGGTGAATTGAAATGTGCAGAGGGGTTGAAACAAAGACAGTAGTTCTGCTCAAAAGCAGGGAGCTAATCTATAGGGATGTTGTTTGTAGAGTATTGCTTTAAGGCAGTCTGTTCTCTGCTTGGAGTCACAGAGCCTCTGTCAAACAGGATGATCCTGGGCCTTCACGGGAGAACAGCAGCTACACAGACAGTATGGGGGAGTTGGGATATACACCTACTCACACTGTTATCCAGGGAAAATCAGAGGCACAGGCTGTGCTCAGCAGGTAGCTAGGCAGATCCTGAAAAGATAAGTGCTAGAAGCAGAAAGGATGAAACTTTGGATGAAACTTTCCCTCTGCCAAACTGCAAAGCTGTTTGGGTTTTCTAGTTACCTTTTCTGCATTACAGATATGTCTATCCAGTGATGCATACCACAGAGAAAAATATGAATTAAATTTGTGTCCAGTAGACCTCAAAATTTAAAATGTATAAAAACAAATCTCGCAGCAAGAATTCTGGTTTCATTTACAATTAAAAGCAAGCCAGAGAAGTGAACTGTATACTAACAACAACAAAGTAAAACATGAAGGGAATTTCTGTTTGGTTGGAAAAATAAATTTTTATTTCATTGTTTAAGCTGAAAAGAAAATCTGGCTTTGTGTCATTTATTCAGTTCCTCTGTGTGGACTGCCAGTATTTTAGAAGACATATTTCTCAAGTCTTGAAAAAGAACTTTAAAATTGGCTGAATGTTGTCACTGCCCTGTCAGGAGAGTGCTATTTAGCTCAGCTATATGAATGATAATAGTTACATATTTGTACATTTCTGGGATTACAGAAATTAAATTGGAATGTATGAAATCATTCCACCATCAGTAGCTGTAGAGTCCAGGACAGATGCATTGCACGAACAGGGGAATTTCTTGTCACATTGCTTAATGATCAAATTCTTGTCCTAGGGAGCCTCCAACACTCTTGTAGGACAATAGTAGGAAAGGGTTCTTTTCCCTATCCAGGAAACATAAAGGGGAAAGCTATGCCCACCTATAAAATGAACTTGGCATGTCATAGAGATATTTATGAACACTGGCAGTAAAAGCACAGTCTCTTATGTCTCTATTTATTTTTAGGCAAAAAGGTGTTAAACTAAGCCTGTCTTTTTGCTGTTCTGGTTTTGCATTGTGGGTTTCTTGGGGGTTTTTTCCCCCCTGTCTTTGGCATCATTTTAGCTTGTGGTTGCACTTCCTCACCAGGATTAGCACATGTACATTGCTGGGTGCAGCCTTCTTTTTTTCAGATCTTTTACCTGACCATTTAGTTCTAATCTGAGGGTGGTTTTGGTAATGAAAATGTATCTGCCATGTGTTAATTTGGTGTCTTATGTAAATAAAGACTTTCGTGGAAAGTCTTAGCATAGTGTAAAGAGTATTCTTCCTGTCAAGGATGGTGTTGAAGCACTGAAAGAAGTACAGCTGTCTCAAAACACTTTATGGTGAAAAAAGCTTGAGTGTATTGCAGGCTATTTATGGATCAAGCTTGGCTGCATTCCATAGGAGAGATTTTTCCTGTAATTCTGTACTGGCATGTATGAAAATGTTGTCATCCTTTTTGTAAGAAGTCACGAAGGAAAAACAGATTTTTGAGAAATTGTCCTGGTGGAAAGCATTCACTTATTTGTCAACACAGATATGTCTGTTAATTTCTGTATGTTTACAGTAACTGCTTGTTGATGGCACTGCTGGTCAATTCTATGGCAAAGATCTTCTGCTTCTTTACATTCTTGTGATGTCTGAACTTTCCAGAAGTGATTCTGAGAGCAAATGTGACTTCAGCAAAGAAAGTTACTTAGTGTTCAAATTCAAAAAAGCCTCTGGTGTTGAGGGAAAAGCAGTTGCAAGGAGGTGGTTAATACTTTAATAGTGTTCTTATCTAGGAAATTGCAAAGAAAAGACGTAAAATTCTAATACAATTTCAAGAATTGTGAAATTGGGATAGTATCTTACCGTAAAATTATGTCTAAACACTTTTATTTAAATTAGCAACTACTTTTTTTTTTTTCAGGAAATTTGGAGAGCGACCTCAACCGAAACGGCTCACAAGGTAAGCATTAAAGAAACTCAGTATTTAACAATTTTCTGAAGTTACTCCTTGCATTTTCAGAAAAATTAGGTTAAAAATTTGTGGGTTGCTGACCCTAGAATTTTAAATATCAAAGCTTTTCAGTTATATATGCAAGCAGAAGTACAATTTTTAACACACTGGCTTATTTTTAATATGAAACTCAAAATGTGTTTTTAGAAATGGTGTTGACTTCATGTATCAGTTATTGTAGGTTATATTGTAGGATGTGGATCTGCTTGTTTTTAAATCCTCAGGAATGAGCTGATTTGTTTCTTGAGTCAAAGTGAGGTTATGCAAACCTTTTTGCTGCCAGAATTGAACACGGTGTTGTCAACGAGTGATCGGAACCAATTTTTGATGAACCCCGAATAATCAGAGAGTATCAAATAGAACTAGCAAGTCAATCCATTCTGGAAAGTATTTAGGGTGACTGGAGTACAGTGCTTGATTTGCTCCTGGCCTGCCTGGGATGTATTTACAATACAAACTGTTAAGAAGTCACCTTCTTTTTTCGAACTGCTTTAACACAGTCTATGCAAATATTTATTATTCTGTGCCAACAACTGGGCCAATTATAATTAGCTCCTGGCTTTAAAATACACTATTTGCTTGAAAGCAAAAAATGATGTGCCGTTTGTTTTTGTAGTTTTGTGTGGTGATAGAGGAAGCCTCTTCTCACCCTGACAGCCTCTGTTTTGAATGAAATGATACCTTATGTTAGCACATGATGGGGGAGAATATTTACATTTTGTGTTGTGAATATCTGTCTCACTGCATTTCTGGGTACGTTTTAGGTTAGCTTGTCATCATTAAACTTCATTTCAATGCAAAATTGACCCATACTGGCTTACAGGTATTTGAACAAACATGGTGGTTGCTTGTTGGCCTGGCAGTCTTCAGGGATATTTGAAGATGCTATGGTTTAAGTTATGAGCTGCTTTCCATCTTGAGTAGTAGCATCTATACTATAACCCTGAAGTTATTAATAGAATTTATCTTCCTTCATCTAAAAAAATGAACAAAAATAGAATGTATCTTCTATGTTTCAAAAAGAGCAACAAAAAAAAGAAATTACTATGCAATGAGAGCTTTTAAATAAGTTTTCTATTTACTATAGTTACTCTGAATTTTATGTGCAGGATTTTAGCTACTAGGTATGCTCATTGCTTTTTCCTGAATGCAGGGTGAGTATTTAAGAAGTGCCAGCCATCCTTCAAAACTGCAGTTTGAAAACCTTTCCTGTGATGATAGAGGTTGGAAACAAACAACCTAACTTTCCTCTGAAGAGTAAACTGCTGAAACAGAACAACTGTCACCCATATTTTTAAGATTGACTTGTTTATGCAATGCTGAAAATGTGTCTGTAAACCCTTAAAAGCATTTAGTTCAATTATTGAAAAATTGCTGTGGGTTTTTTGTTTAAAGGCTGTCTGGTTTGACTAATAATCTCCAGCAGGACTACACTACTCTGTTCATACTGTGCCAGTTAGTTTTAGATGTAAACTGAACTAATACTGCCTTCATGAAGAATTTTAGCATTGAATAATGAAAAATGTCACATAAGATAGCAGTGGGAGGGGTCGGAGGGGGAACATCACTTGTTCTCACAGGAGCTTGGATTGTACAAATCCACTGTAGAAACAGACCAATAGAAAACAAATTTTCTTCCTCATACAATGCTAAATAAAGATTAGATAACATTGAGCAGTTTTCTTGTGTGGGTTGCTGGGTTTGATAGTAGTCAAGTTTAATAGTAGTCCTGTCAATGTTTTTAATACAACAGATGTTCTTAATTTAGTATGAAAATTGTCCGATTAAAAGTTTTTAAACAACTTAAATGCAGCTAATATATATCATAATGAAGTGTATAATAATAATTTCACAGTGTTTTGGAGTTTAAAATATACTCTTTAAAAATGAGTAAATTTTTAAATTTACTGTAAATTAGTAAGGCTGTGGGCTTTGAAACAGTTCTTCCAGCTGTACTTTCATGGATAAACATCAGTTTTACCAATGTCAAATGTAAATAGATCAAGTTAGTCCAAATTTGAAACAGCAGTTCAAGTCTATTCTCTGTTCTTATATCCTGGTATTTACACAGAAAATCAGCTCACTAATCACTAGACATTAATCATGTCCTGTGCAGGCATGACAAACACAAGAATTTGCAAAACATCATTAGCAAAGCTGAGTTGTCATTGTCCAACCCAGCCCTGGCTCAATCTACTTGCTTTTCTCTATGAAACTGTGTGGGGATTTCTTTTGGAAAAGGCCTGGTCAATAAAATACTGCTTTCTATTTTCCATGATTTTTTTCACTAGAAATGTTTGGTTTTCTAGATCTGTCCTAAGGGAATTCAATAGTTGGCACAGTTCACAGAAAAAAAGACAAAAATCCAAACAACCAAACAAAAAAAAACCTTCTTGTGTAGGGTTTTATCTTTTCATATAAATTCCTGATAAATTCATAATTTATTTCTCTGGTAGATGACTTTGAAGATGAGTGCATTGGTGGGCATTCAACCCACAAAAGCTCCTTCAGGAACTGGTGTTCCTGCCAGCACTCCAGCACAGCTGATCCCTAGGGTGTTGAATTTGGCATGCTGCTTAATGAACAGTTAGATTATTTTACAGAAGAGTGACTGGCTGTTATTGTTCTCTTGCTTCTCTCAAGGAATTGTTGTTGGTGTGTTTGAGGTAATTACAGCATTTATATAACATCTGTAATTACAGTGATGATGAACAGTAAAACATTTTTTAATTTTTTTTTTACCTGATTGTATGCAGAAAGTAGATCTTTTCTCTAGAAAACTAGGTGAAACAATATGCTGAATAATTAAATTTTTTCTTAGTATCTTCAAAACCAAAAGAAAACTTGTATAGAAATATTGCACTGAGTTGGTAAAAGCCTAGACAATTTGTCCTTATCGTGAGATACTAAATAGGTCATGAAGAAAATATTTAACAAATAAAATGTGTTCTAATTTGTGGCAGTGTGTTTAATGAAATAGGACTTTAAACATGGTGTAATTACTGGCATTGGTATGATTTTACATCAGAAGAATTTTTTTTTCTGGAAAATGTAGCAATTGTAAATGATCATAGACCCCATATTGCTAGTTTTGTGCACGATAGTTACTTCTTTTTCCTGTGTAATTGTCTTAAACAGTGAGCAAACACATCTTGACCCTGCTAATGATGGTCTTTTTGGAATTGCAGGTCCTGGAGTTTTTTCCCTAAAGTTGTCTTCATTTTGTTGTAAACAAAACCAAAAGAACTTCCAAAGCTTATATTGTGTTTTGATTTTTAGGGAAGCAATGCGAAATTACCTGAAGGAGCGAGGTGACCAAACAGTGCTAATACTCCATGCGAAAGTTGCGCAGAAATCGTACGGAAATGAAAAAAGGTAACTTTTTATGCTGTACTGAGTCTGTCTACAGCTGGCAGCTAAGGAAACTACACTGTGTATTTGGGTGCACAGTGCTTTGCAGAATTCCTCAGATTGCACTGTAGTCTGAAGAAACATAAAATGCTTCCTCCTAAATCATTTAATTGTGTAACAAGTACTGCAAACCTATAGCATTCAATGGAGTGATGCCAGTTTCTACCAAGAGGTTCCCTATCTATGGGCTAAGCTTTTCTTCTGTTACTTAAAATTGTTCTCATTTTAAACCTTCCATTTTAATGTTGGAGTAAATGAGGTAATCAACAGTGAATACTTGTAGAGGAGTTTTTTTCTGAATAATTTCACATTAATATGAAACGGAAATTGGTAGCCTCAGTAAGATAAGTTTCTGAATCACGTCTGTAATAAGTCTAACAAGAATGATAGGTCAGTCATGACTGTATTTATGATAAACATTTTCTTGCAAAAATGAATACAGTACATGTTACAATTATAGGTACTTTTCTAAGGGACAGAATCTGCAGGAATATGTGAGAATTAATGCTTTTTAGGCAAAGGTGCTTTTCCTGCAGTCTTCTCTTGCAGTCTTCACTGTATGATGGTTTTTTTGCTAGTAGAAACAAATAGGATGCTTCTTCATATGTAGGTTTATTGACCTAACAGTTGCATTTATTCATGCAGGTTATCTCTGATTCATCTGTTTAAGAACGGAAGCATGTCAAATGAGTGTAGAAAATTTTAGAGCTTTATAAAAGGAGATCAGGGATGAAAATAATTGGTTGTTGGATATCAAATAGCATGGTGCTGAAATGATTGCTGTTGTGCTGTGGCTATGAAATGAAGGTGTGGAATAAGTCACCAAATCAATCAGGTTGGAAGGGACCATGTGGGGACATCTGGTCCAACCTAGAGCACATGACACAGGATTGTATCCAGATGGTTCTTGAATGGATCCAGGGAGGGAGACTCCACAACCTCTCTGAGCAGCCTGTTCATGTGCAGTCACCTGCACAGTAAAAAAGTTCATCCTTGTGTTCAAGTAGAACTTCAGTGCTTCAGTTTCTGCCTGTTCCCTCTTGTCCTATACATACTAAGGTTTCATTTTTTCAGTTTAAATATTTTTACAGCTTAAGTTGTTCTTAAGCTGTAACGTACCATGTAGACTGTCTCTAATACTGTTCTGCTAGTTCCCAGACTGTCAGCATCAGTAATGATGTCCTCTTGTTATCAGCATAAAGGAAACTGCCAGTTATTAAATCCTTGGATCCATGTGTGCCCTAAGGTACATGGTAAAACTGAATGATGAATTATTATATTCCTGTTTCTTCTTTTCTTCTTCTGTTGAGTTTTTAAATTGTTTCTGCTTTATTTATTGCAAACTGTGGCCTTTGTTTCTTCATATTTCTGGACTAAGCAAAATTAGTAAATTTCTAATGCTGCTTTATGCAGCTCAACAGTGAAGTTTTCATCATTTTTACATTCACCATTTCTGAAATGAGTTGGTTTGCATACATCTTAGAAAGAAACTTATTTTATACCCATTTTTGTAGATAAATGTCCTGTTTTCCGTGGGATTTCATTGTGGCATTGATATCATCTGGTAATTTTTTGGACCTTAAAGAATACCTTACTTTGCATTACTTTTGTAATGAGGAATTCAAGTTAGAAAAGGAATTTTTTCTTAAATTTGATATCTCTTTCAAGTAAATATAGAACTTAAACCTGGAGAAACTTCCACCTCTTGTTCCAGTCTTTATTTAGGTCTTACTTGTTGCATAATCATGGAAAATGCTTGCCATTAGCAAACTTTGCACATCATAATTAAAAGGTTAGCACAACAACTACTTTTCAGTGTTTTGATGAGGGTTACTAGGTGGTGAAATACTCTGTTAAGTGCTTACTGTAGATGGTGCAGATCTCATGTAGCTTGGCCTGTTTTAAATAGGCATCACAGTAACACTATTCCAGGTGCATGGATACAGACTTTCTAGGTTAATTTGAGAGGTTTTGGTACTCCTAAGTAACAGGAATGAAGGGAATTGACTTTTTTGAGTCGACCCTTCATATGAGCCTTGCACTTCACAAAGTCAGTGGTTTTTAGCTTAGCAAAGAAGCCAGGAGGTAAGAAGCTCAAGTTGGGCTTTAGTTGAATTTAAGACTTTGTGCCTGATATTTACTGTTGCATGATTGTCACCTTTCAGAGGCATTCAGCTGATAGAGACTCAGGTGCTGTTTAGTCTTGATGAGTGTGGGTATTTGGTTTGCACTTCTTGTAGTGTTTTCCATATTTACCATTGACTGAGAGTTGTCTCTTCAAAGTCTGAGCAGTCTGAACATTCAGCAGTTTGAAAGACTGAAGTGTTTTGGATTCCAAGGCATAGTTTATCTAAAGCCTGGGAGCCAGATAGGGATTTTGATTGTGCTGTTTGCAGTTAAACATGATCACTGCTGATTAGCATGAGAACGCTGTAGCTGCATCTTGTTTTGGAGCTGTTAGTGAAGGAGCTCCTGTAATTTCTGATCAAGTACTTCCTTTCTCTGAACTAAGTGTGCCTGTCCTCTGGATAAAATTTGTTATTGAGAGCATAGCTTTTTCCAGGGCTTACCCCATGGCTCCACAGCTTTGTCCTTTGCACTGTAGTACCTAATGATTTTTCACTTTCACCTAATGATTTTTCACTTCTGCACTTGGGTTGCAGAAGTGCCAAGTTATAACACTACTCTCCATACTGAAGTAAATAATTGAGTTCTTTAGTGGATGTTGTTAGTTCTTTAATCTCCTATGAAGAAAGATTGCTGAGCAGTTTCATACTCAGAACAATGTGGGTAATTGACAGACACTTAGAATTCACCAGCAGATACAAAGGAGAAACTTCCCTTCCAAAGTCGCTCTGGATATAAAATAACTAGCTAGTAGAAGCATCTGAATTCTCCTGAAGGCAAGGACTTCGATAAGATGAACAGAGATGACTTGGATGATTTAAAAAGCAAACCTTTGTGACAGAAGCCTGTGGTTTGAGGAGAGCATTGAGTCCATCAGAATTAGGTAGAAATTACACGAGTGGATCTTATTTCCCTTTAAGCCCTTGCTTCCTAGCAAGGTCACTTGGAGTAGCTTCTCTCCTTGAAGTACCACATTTTCTCTGTATTGATTGGCTTGAATTGACTGAAGGAATACTGTTCTCTCCTTTGATGTTTATCTGATCTAATACAGTGTTGTCAAAGTTCAAACCTGGTTCACATTTTCTGTATTGGACAGAATATTCATAGCTAATTTCTTCTGTACATGAGTTCATGGAATGGTAAATACGAAGTTAAAAAGACCCAAGACTGTAGCTGTCTCTGCCTGAAAGCTGAGAAAGAGGTAGATATATAAGAAGGAAAACCCACTCAAATTGTGAGTGTCCAGACTCTTTCTTCATGTTTGTAGTTTTAACCAAACTTAAAATTTTATCAGCTTTAAAAGTTTCTTTGTTCAGTAAGTTTTCAAAGATGTTTCTCTGCATTTTAAGAGTGCTTTTTGTTGTGGTTTGTTTTCATCAGTGGGTTACACCTTGTTTCGTACAGGTCTTTATTGCCATCTAGTGGCTGTAGTTATTCAAAGAACTTGGTTTAGAATAAAGCTGAAATGAGAAAGGGTATGAAAAAACGTAGTGATTTTCTTTTCTTGTGTTCTAACCAGTAAGATAAATACAAAAGAGTACATAAAGAAAGAGGGTAAATGTGTCATGTTCTTTATGGTGCAATATTTGGAATAGAAGGGATTTGTTGGATTTTTGTTTTGGTTTTGTTTTATCAAAGCATTGCTCTGTTAAAGGTTGACACTAATTTTTAATCCATGCATAACTTCTTCATCAAGAATAGCTTACAAATGATGACCACAATACTTTTGAAAGAAGTTCATATGCTTTGCTGTGTTGTAAATAGAACAAATGCAAGTGAAAAATTTTGACTACAGATTTATAGTCAAGAAAGAAGGTTTCAGGAGTTTTTTGCCTGCAGACAGTAAATTTTTATTCATTTTCATAACCACTAAGAGTTTTTAAACAGCAGTAAGACTTAAAATTTGGTGATTTGTTTCTCTGACAGAAAATATACATTATTTGTGTCCATTAACCAAAAATACTTCAAATACTTGCATTTATTTATACTGTTCTTAATATGTGTATTTAATTTTATGGTATTGTTAACAGCACTTTTGTTAATCTATTAAGAATTCTGTAACTTAAAAAACCAATTTATATCTGTTAAATACATGTGATCGTGCTGGAAAAAATAATGCTGAATAGGTGAGATAAATAGGAGTTTTACACTAGATTTTCATACTAAAAGTAGTATTAAATGGTGTTTAATAGAAATAAGAGTCATTTAGGATGAAAAAGACCTTTCAGATCATCAAGTCCAACCAGTTACCTGGCACTGACCTCTCTTGCCCAGGACTCCCACAGACACTTCAGAAACTGAGTAATTGTGTCCTCTGGTCATTTTGCATGACTTGGAGCCCACAGTTCAGTTTACTCCCCTGCCCTGACATCTGCCCACCAGCACAACTGGCTGCTGCCCCAGCGTGGAGCCTGCTCCCCCTGCCTGGAATACAGATGTCCCAAGCCCAATTTAAAAAAACAGAAGAAGGAAAAAAAAAAAAAAAAAAAAAAGAAAGAAAAGGCCAGAAAACCCTCACCTGTAAGGTAGGAGTCATTGTTGGGTTGCAGAAGTGCCAAGTTATAACACTACTCTCCATACTGAAGTAAATAAAATAATGAGAAACTTTTTCATGTTCCCCTCCCTTACATGCCTCCTTAGCTACCTCACAGCTGGATGTGCTCATTCCACTTTATCTTTGATCATAGTCAAATGATGATAAAAACACAGCAGCTTGTTTGCTAACTACAACCAAACCTTTTCAGGATTTGGGCTTTAAAAATTTGCAGAAACTTCAAGGCCAATGCATTGTATTATAATGCTGAATTTAATTTTGAACATATTGCTATAAATAGCATCTAGACTGATTGGAGTCAGTGCTGCTGAAAATTAGGCCTTATTTTTTACACATACTGATGAAGATAAAAATTATCTATTCCATTTAAAAACTGGGGAGAGATTTATGGGATTTATGTGTGGACGGAATAAACTCCCTTCTTGCTTATGACAAAACTCAACATTTAGGAATTGTAGTCAGCAGTTGTCCATTAAATTAGTTTGTGGAACTGTTCTGTGTGTATTAATTGCTCCATCATGTTAAGCACCTGCAAAAGACTATAATAACTTTTGAGGCCTTTTTTCCTTTCTTTCAGAATCTCTTTGTAAGGTATTTTAGGGAGATGCAGACTGTTACCTGGAATATATTGAACTGGAAAGATTCTCAGTGACAGTACATCTACTGCTGATTGATTCCATAATGTTCTTTGTTTTCAGGTTCTTTTGTCCTCCTCCATGTGTGTATCTCATGGGCAGTGGATGGAAGAAAAAAAAAGAGCAAATGGAACGGGATGGTTGCACTGAACAGGAGTCACAACCTTGCGCCTTTATTGGGATAGGAAACAGTGACCAAGAAATGCAGCAGCTGAACTTGGAAGGAAAGGTAGAAAAACTGTAATAAACCACTAAGATAACTAACTGCAAAGGATATTATAGCTACAAGGTGTATATTTCAAAGAATGCCCTTTCTTATTTTTGGATCATTTTCTTTCTAGGTATTGCATAGTGGTTTGAAAAAAAATCCCTCAAAATATTTAGGACAATTGAATAGTTGGTTTTGGCTCCTAGGGTCATAGCAAGGTACTAACATTTAATTTGTGGGTTGTTGATGCAGACTCAGTAAACTGTTAGGTTATTTGCTAGAATCAGTGGCTAACTAAAATATGGTTTCTGGCCCAAATTCTCTGTCCTGCTCCTTGGCTTGCATGAGTGGATGGATAATCTTATCAAGGAAATATCAAAACATCTGCTACTTTAAGTTCCTTTGCCTAAAAATGCAATTGAAGTAGCATCTTAAAAATTTAGTAGGTCATTTTTACAGTGGTATAAATTGCTAACAAGATTTTTTAAGGTGTTTGTGATGACTTAAGCAGTTGGAATAGAACTAGCAGCAGAAGTGTTCATTTTACCTGGTTGTTTCATTAAGCAGTATTTTGTAGCTACCTGGTATTTCCAGCACAGTCTACCAGAAATGCTTCATATATTCAAAATAGGAAAAGAATAAAGAATAATTGAAGTTCTTTATGAGATTTTTTTTAACTCTGTTGTCACCTAGCATCAACACTTAGCCAAAAGTAACTTCCTTGTGTTTCAAAACCCAATCATTTCCCATCCTTTCAAGAAAAGTTCAGCTGAATACATTTTCTGCACAGGTGGGCCCTTGTGCATGCCCAGTGCAGGGTCTGTACAGCCCTAATCAAATGTAATTTTTAGTAGTGCTCTTGACCCCTCACAGGTGGCTTTGACACAGTTACGGTCTGCAGTCGTCTCTTCTAGTCCTGGTAAGGGTCTTTGGAATGATGATAGAATAATGAGGTTGGGTGCAGCACTGTTCACAAAGCTAAACAGTCATAAAAGAAATGCATAGGGAAGAGATGGAAAAAACAGGTCCTCATCTGTTTTAGAAACTATTGCATCAATTTTCCTATTTTATTCATAGTTAAATATGCCTAGTTTCTTGAACTGGGTTGCCTTCAAAGAATAAACCACAGTATGTTTTCACCTACAGAATTATTGCACTGCCAAAACATTATACATATCAGACTCAGACAAGAGAAAGCACTTCATGTTATCGGTAAAAATGTTCTATGGCAATAGTGATGACATCGGCGTGTTCCTCAGTAAACGGATCAAAGTCATCTCCAAACCCTCGAAAAAGAAACAGTCACTGAAAAACGCAGACTGTAAGTATTTCTCTGTTTCTTCTTTATTTAGCAATTAATTTTGTTTCATACTACTTTTTTGTTATGTATTCTAAGGTCTGACTACAAGAGAAATAAATACATTGAAATTTTCAACTCCAGTTTTTTTGCTGTATTTTAGAACTGTACACTTCAGTGTATTTTAAAATATTCCAATATAGATAGGTTACCCTGTTGAGTTTTATGCAGTCATGGTTAATTATTTAGTAAATATAATAGGCCCACCCAAACCCCCATGTTTTCTGAGGAATGAATTCATGTAGACAAGTGTGTCAAGTGTATAAAGAATGGTCTACCTCAAGTTTCTAAGCTTTTGGATCTCTTTAATTGCCATGATCTGGTGCTTAGAATGTTTTGATCAGTATCAAAGGGATTGCTTTCAGATTGTGGATAAATGAGTAGCAGCATGTTATCCAAACACTTTGTCACATCACAGCCACCTTCTTGCTGTCTCATACCATTTTCATGTTGTTCTGATTTTTGTTTTGCATGGTTCCTTTTAAGTAGTCATTTAAGAAATCTGTATGGTGATATTTCACCCAGATTTATTTGCTTACCATGTTTTTCAACTAACGGTATCTCTGGTGCTAATGTATAATTGGGAACGTTTTTGCTTTTCCTCCACCTTTTTTTGCCTGCATACCACTGGAGCACCTCAAGAGATACCCTTTTTTTTTTGTTTGTTTTTTCTCTCTCTCTTCACTAGTGCTTTAAAAGGCTCTTCCATCTGTGTTGGGCTGGAACCCATTCACCTATGGAATGTGGATCTCGGGGCCGCTAGCTTGGCACATGACTAAAGGCAATCTGTTGCTGTGCAGTTCACGCCCGTGGGCTCAGAGTATGCACTGTTGAATTTGTGTTCAGACAGATAGTTTTGATGGATAGTGATTATGAACCAAGCATTCTTCAATAGTAAATATGAACCAAGTAGAACAACATGCCCGTTCTGATGGCAAAATTTTAGTTGCTGGTTTTTTTTTAGGGGAGCAAACTTTACATTTCTCTCTTTTGAATGATAAATATGTTCAGATCTGAGAACATTACAAGTTGCATGGTTATAATTTGACATAGTTACATCTGTCTTCCTTTCAATTGCTTGTGATTTGTAAGAATACTATGTCTTTATATTTGAAATATTCTTCAAATGATTGCTGAAAGTTGTCTTAAGTACTTCTCAAGGGCAAGCTAAAGCTTCTGCTTAAATCAGCTGCTGGAGAACTATGAACAGAAGGAGTGTTCAGCTGGCAAGCTCTAGCCCATTTGTCTAAGTGGCAGAATTCTGTGAGCTAGCATGCCTTTGGAGAAGAGCCACTATGTATGTTATTGCACTCATAATTTTGTGTCTATTTTTGGTCTGTCACAAATATAAATATTTTCTAAATTCACCAATATTTCATAATTAAGTCTTGACTTCAAGTATTCTTCAGTTTAGTTTATGTTACTTGTGATTTTTTGATACTTTTCTATGTAATAATGAAGTAATTTTATAATCTCAAGTCTGTATGTGTTCCTTGCAGTATGTATTGCATCAGGGACAAAAGTGGCACTATTTAATAGACTTCGATCCCAAACAGTTAGCACCAGATATTTGCACGTAGAAGGTGGTAATTTCCATGCCAGTTCACAACAGTGGGGAGCATTTTACATTCACCTGTGTAAGTAAAAGTAAATCTGTATATTTTTCTTCACTTTCTTTCCTTCATCCTCACAAAAAAAACATCCTGCATTTTTTCCTCCATATTAATTGCCCATATGCACACTTGTTTTGTTACTGAGTGTATATTTGATGTAACAGTGTGATGTTAAATGTTTCTCATATCAAGAAAAATGGTGATTAAAACAAGTAATTCTGAAAATTCCTGTTTCATGCAGTGGATGACGATGAATCAGAAGGAGAAGAATTCACAGTGAGAGATGGCTACATTCATTATGGGCAGACTGTCAAACTTGTATGCTCAGTTACTGGCATGGCACTCCCGAGACTGGTACAGTTTCATTTCTCCAATGCTGTAACTAATTTATAGATGGCAGTTTAGTGTAATTCCATAGTTGGGTTTGCAGTGTTCACAGTTTTTGGTCTTGTATGTTGCCTTTGGGTAATACATGTTTTTTATGGCAAATGGCATTTATTTTAATTAAAGCATATTTTTGTTTCTGCAGATTATTTCTCTAAACAAAGAACAATTTGTAAAATAAGATAGGAAATTTTTCAGAATTTAAGCCTGCCAAAATCTGTTACTCTGTCTATTTTAAAAAGAGTATTGTAGATTTCTCTGTTCCAAAATGCTTCAAATTTGATATTGAATAGATGAATAAAATATTTTCAGCCAGTAGGACTCTTCCATGTGTTGAGTTCCAATATAACTTTAGAAATGCTTGACTGATTTGAACATAAAAGCACTTCTGTGTACTCCTGAGGATATATTATACCAGTAACAGCTTGCAAAAACAATTTTTTCATCTTTATTAATACTATCTGTTTTAAATCTTAAACATGGGAATTGCCTTTGGAATAACCAGTTAAGGTTTGTGAATCAAATAAAATATTACTTCTGGATACACAGTACTGGGTTTTGTAAATAAAGTTAAGTATAATTATAGATTTTTTTCCCTATTTTATGCACTTAATGCCAGCCTTAGTGGAATTTTATGTGATTAATAATCAGTAGTGCTTCATACGGGATCTTCTGTGAAATTGTGAGCTCATTACAAGTTTTGTACAAGGCTCTGCTAACTCCAGTTTAGGTAGAAGCAATCTTTAGAATGCACCAATGTAAAAACTGACTTCCTGCAGTCAGGCTTTTGTTCCCCTTCCCAGACTAATTTTGCTGGGACTGTAATGTGAATTTCTCTCCCAATACCAAATTTAGCTAAAAGAAGAAGATAATAGTCTGCTCAGTGTAAAAGGTACAAAATGAAAATTTTGTTTGACAATAAAAGCAGTTATACTGGTTACACTACAGATATGGTTCAAGCACAGGAAATTCAGTAAGAGGATGTCACCTTTTTGTGGGCTTCATGTTAATAGCTTTTATTGATGAAATGAGATGCCACCACTTATTATTCCAGAAACCTTATTTGTAAGTAGAAACAGATTAAAACAAATTAGGCTAAAAGTTCCTGGTTTGTTTGCTATGGGGAACATTTGTCATACTGCTTACAGGACTGATGGAAGGTGATGCAATTAAAAGATAACTTGCACGTATTTTATAAGCAAATGCAAAGAATTTAGAAGAAAAAAATTAACCTTTAAATTTATTTTGCTAATAATACTCTTCTCTGTTATAATTGGATATTGCAGAGGACAATTTGGTTTCTGATTGTCAGCTTAGAAATATTCAGGCACTTTGGCTGTTGCATCTGGTAGTGTTGCATAAAGCATTAAACTTCTTTCTAGGAGTTGAGTTAAAATTACGAGCTACAGATTTTCACTATCTAAGGGAATAGCTCTTGATTTTAGAAATTAATTGGCCAAAGAGATCTGAATTCAGTCAGCAGATATTTTTTCACTGCACTGCCAAATGTAAGGAACAGTTGTTCTTTGCGGTTGTCTTTAAGTAATATTTAATGACCAACTACTGATAAGATATCTTATGATTGTTGTTTCCAAAACTGTATTTAAAGACATCTCAATACCTTTAGTTAATCCTTATTTAATTCTTTTCCTTCAGCAACCAGTTTGCCACAGAATGTTGTTGATCCTATCAGTAGTGAAAGATTCTGTAGAAACATAATAATTACTAAAAATAGTAATTAATAATAAATGAAGATAACAATATAATTAATAACTGCTCTTTTACACCAGCAAATGAAACAAAAGTAGATTTTGCTGAAGCTTCAATTTTTTCCCCACTCCTTCAGCAAAAATAGATAAAATATATATGCCTGCAGCACATTGAAATAGTACTGGGTATCACTTCCATGTTGTGTTCTTGTTTCAAAAGCATTAAGAATTATGAATGTAGTGTTGGTACCAAAATGAGAGGCATGGAAATCTTATAAAAATTACTTTTCACTTCCTTTACTGACTGTATATATGTAATAAAGTATAGAAATTGTTCTAAGTATATATGTACAATTTTCATTCACAGATAATTCGAAAAGTAGATAAACAAACGGCATTATTGGATGCAGATGATCCAGTATCACAGCTCCATAAATGTGCATTTTACCTTAAAGACACTGAGAGAATGTATTTGTGCCTTTCCCAGGAGAGAATAATCCAATTTCAAGTGAGTTGTTCAAAACTATTTCAATAGATAAGTGTAATTGCAAAGTTTTCTCAAGTATCCCCAAAATATGTATGAATGCCATTTTTGCAGTAGGTTTTGAATGGGAGTCTAATATTTTGTTTTGAAAAGAGAGGATGGAAAGCAACAAATTGTTATCTGTGCCTTTCCAAATCTGTTTTTCTTTTCTCATAATCTTCTTCCATGTCTGTCTTGAAAATGAATTCTGGTTTCTCCAGTGGAGAAATAGGAAACACACTAGAAACTTGTGCATGTGGTCATGATACTGTGGCTTACATGTGCCAGTGGAGTTGCACCACTTATTTGTGTGTCCCTTTCTAGGTTACAGCAAATAGGAAATGGTACAGTTGATAATAGTCTTGTTTCATGATGAACTCAGCAGAGCTGCCATGTGTTGCTCTTCGCAAAGAGAGTAAACATAGACAGCTGTGGCAGTTGCCCACAGTAACTTGAAAAGCCACAGAAATTTGATTTGTCTGTAAAGAATAAAACTATCTCTGAAATATTTTTTTCTCCGGCAGGTGGAGAAAAGCTTAGGGTTTGGCTTGTGGCTCTCTTGTTGCCAGTAGTTATTCTGTAGTACAGAAATGGTCTTCCAGGTCCTTGCTGTTGTTAATACGTCCAGTTGTTCAGATATATTATCTTCCTGAACTTTTTTTCTGTGGGGTGATAATTGTTACATGTAGCTGTTTTAGACATCTTGCCTTAATAAGAGATCTGTTTTAAAGCAGCTGCTTCCAGTTGCTGTAGTTTTGGGGTTTTTTTTGTTAATGCCTATTGAATAACATTAAAACTTTGAAAGTTGAACTAAAATAAAACTCAAACATAAGGTTGGAGAGGTGACAGTGTTGTAGGTGAGAGTTATGGTGTTCTCACAAATACTAGTTTTCTAGTAGTTTTTCTGAAATGTGAAGAGGGTTTCTCTAGGTCATTTTTAGAGGAAAGCATAAGGAAACGTGTTTTTGAAATAACAGGCGTTGTTACTGAGTTGGTTTTTAGGTCTGTGACTTGACAAACATCTCTACAGATCAGATTTTAAACTTTTCTTTCTTTCTAAGGCCACTCCATGCCCAAAAGAACCAAATAAAGAAATGATTAATGATGGAGCTTCTTGGACAATCATTAGCACAGACAAAGCAGAATACACATTTTATGAGGGGATGGGTCCAGTCCATGCTCCAGTGACACCTGTGCCTGTTGTGGAAAGTCTTCAAGTAAGTTAGTAGTTTGTTTTAATAAACTGGTTTTCTGTGAGATTATTTTTGTCTTACTCATGTAACCTTCATGGTATCCTTGTGAAATACTGTAGGAAAACAGTCTTAATAGCTTTATAAATAATAAAATTACTTTGTTGTAATAATTTTTCTTTCTTACATTTCAGAATACATGAGTCTATCCATCATAGGAATAATACTAATATTGTTGTATACAATTAGAATTTAATATCTGAAACTACCATGGTAGTGATATCCTTAGGACTTCTGTTTGATTATTTAGAAATTGTTTTTGACTCTTGCCAATTACAGATCAAAGAGAACCTTACTAAAAAAAAAAAAAAAAAAAAACCAGCATTTGGCACAGGAAAAACTTAAAGCTCCCCTAACACCCCTCTGAAAGATTTTGTTCTCTGTTTTCAAAGCCTTCTTGACATCTATTCTAAACAGCTATTATCAAAACTTGGAAATTCCTTCATAGTATCAAATTAATTGGCAGTATCTTTTAGATGTGTTACTACTTTATACTTCAGTTGTGTAGATTGTGTTTGTGTTTTGGTTTTGTCCAGCTGATAAAAACAGCACTGTAAGTTCTTATCTGCATGTAAAGGTTTTGTTTGTGAGTTTTTTTGGTTGGTGGAGGTTTTTTTTTTGTTTGTTGGGTTTTTTCTGAGGGGAGAGTGTTTATTTTTAATAATACATATTTGGGGGGGATTTTCTTGTTCTTTTTCTGTTTGCTCCATTTCCAGTTGAATGGTGGTGGGGATGTAGCAATGTTGGAACTTACAGGACAGAACTTCACTCCAAATTTACGTGTCTGGTTTGGGGATGTGGAAGCTGAAACCATGTACAGGTACAATATTTTCTATTTACTTCTGTGGTGTTTATGTTTTACTGGGTGCTTTGAAGAGTGTATACTTGTGTACACACTCAAGTGTACACGTTTCTGCACTGCAGAAAGGGGTCTGGGAGTGCTGGTTGCCAGAGGCTCAGGATGAGTTAGCAATGTGCCCTGGCAGCATGGAGGCCAAAGTGCATCCAGCTGGTCAGAAGATGTGTCTGTGCCACTGCAGTCAGCACTGGTGCAGCCTCACCACCAGCACTGCCTGCAGTTGGGGGCTCCCCATTAAGAAGGATGTTCAGGTACCAGAACATGTCCAGAGATGGTGAAGGGCTCGAAAGCCCAAGGAGTTGCAGCTGAGGACTTTGGGCTTGTCTGGTTTAGAGAAAAGGAGGCTGAGAGGTGACCTCATTGCTCTCTGCAGCTTCCTGAGGAGGGGAGGTAGAGAGGGAGCTGCTGAGCTTTGCTTCCTGCTGTCATGTGCCAGGATACCTGGGAATGGTTTAAAGCTGCCCCAGGGAAGATTTAGACTGGACATTGGGCAGCATTTCTTTACTGACAAGGTAGTCAGACACTAAACAGGCTTCCTAGAAAGGCAGTTGATGCCCCAAGCCTCTCTGTATTTAACTACATAAAGGGAATTGGGCTTTAATAATTTGATTGTAACTTGTGGTCAGCCCTGAAGTGGTCGGTGTGTGCACTAGTTGAATATTGTAGGTCCCCTTCTGTTGTGTTGCATTGGTAACAGAACTATTCTATTGAATGCTTTCAACTTAAGGACATTGTACTCAGCTGACTCTCCTGTTTTTCAGATGTGCAGAGAGCATGCTTTGTGTTGTTCCAGACATTTCTGCGTTTCGAGAGGGCTGGAGGTGGGTCCGACAGCCAGTCCAGGTTCCAGTAACTTTGGTCCGTAACGATGGCATCATTTACTCCACCAGCCTTACCTTTACATACACCCCGGAGCCAGGGCCACGGCCACACTGCAGTGCTGCTGGAGCAATCCTCAGAGCCAACTCAAGCCTCATGGCCTCCAGTGAAACAAACACAAACAGTGAGGGAAGTTACACAAGCGTCAGCACAAACCCCACCAATGTCACATCATCTACGGCAACTGTAGTTTCCTAACTACTGTTGTTTGTCTGGACTTTCATTGACTTTTTGTGCTACATTCAAGAGAACTGAACAATTTTTGTGGTTTCATGGGAAAACACTTTTCCATTTTAGGTGATATGATTTCAACCTTGTTACCTGCAAGTGCTGATCTTAAAAACAGAAGCCACAATAAAAAAAGAAAAAACCAACATCCGAAACATAAGAACTTTATTGAAAATCTATTTTTCAGCTGTGGTTTTTTTTAGTGGGCAAGAAACAAAAATGTGGCTGGGATACATGTTGAGCAAACTAGAAAACATGAACACAACATAGTTTTTATGGACCAAGGAACTTGTATAAGCTTTAGTATAAAAGGTACATTTTCACCATACCTTTTTTGTATCACAACATATAGTACACTTTTGTTACCAAATAGTTTATATTTTTTTTTCCTCTGAGCTTTTGCTCTGAAGTATATTCAGGTTCCAAGCCTGACCATGCTTGTATAATCTAATTACCATACTCTTCCAGTTTTAAAAAAAAATATATATTTTTGGTCTGTGGCTGGAACTGTTCCTTTTTTTAAACTGAAGTCTTGTGACTTTTTATGAACTGAAATTGTTTTTATTTCAGCAAGTAGAACCTTGTAAAGGCCAGCATATTTTTTTTAAGATTATATGAAGTCTGTGCAAAAGCTTTAAAAAATGCCTCTGCCTTGCCTGCAATACATGCAATGTATGTTAACTTTAGTGCTCTGTTTTCAGTCATTGTTAATAGTTATTTCTGTTTTTCTTTTTTAAATATGTATTTATAGTGATAATTCATGAGGTTCTAACATTACATGAGTTTTTTTTCCTAAAAGTGGCATCTCAAGCAGTCATATTAATGATTGTTCATGTCACAGGCATATGTTGGTGTTTTTGAAGGGTTGTTACTGGGTTACTCCCCCTCTTCCTTGCTCAGTCATATTACATCTGAAAATGTTTCAGGATCTGTTCAGGTTTTTCTAATCTTGTACATAATTTGTATTAAGTGTAAGTTAAATGTTTTATTTCAAAAGTGGAATGTTCCCAATAACTTCATTTGGCAGCATGTCTTCTGTCTTGTTGGCATGAAACTAAAGTACCATGAGAAGTATGTGCTACAAATGGGATTGGTAGGTGATGCCCTTCATCACTTGAGAATCACAACAAGCATGTTTTTCTTCATACTGTTCAGTAAATTAGGCCAGACTTTTGTGTAACACTTGTATTGAGAACGTGCTTTCATTGTGAAGTGATCATACAGTAATAACTAGAAGTAAATTTTATTACTTAGAAACGGGCAAATAGAAAATTATAAAAGCACTATGAAGATGTCAACTCCTCCCATCCTTGTTTCCTGTGGGTTTCCCTTTCCCTGCCAACAGCTTGTGCAACATTCAAGTCTTCTCTCCAGCATAAATTCAAGGCTCATTTGCACTTTGACTTTGTTGGTTGTTGCATTTGTTTTTCATTTTGACTTTACCATGTTTTGTCCCTCCTTGTAGACCTGCTTGCTTCATTTGTATTTGAACGTACCCCAGTAGTTCATTTGTAGTCACAGAGCTAGGCATAGACTTGTAGGACAAGTTCTGACAGTGTGATCTTCCTCTTTAAAAGCCAAAATTTCATGGTGTGTTCAGCCTTTTCTGTACCCTGAAGCAAAAGTCACAACTGCTGTGTAAATGTGAACCTGTGGTTTCCTACAGTGCATTGCTTACAAGCTTACCTGTTGACCATTTTCATAGGGTTTTTATTTCTGACCACTGATTGCGGTTTCAACACCCACCACCATTTTAAAGCATCGTCTCTGCACCATATTTGTGTACTCTGACGCTCCATTCTACCTGTTTGCTTTAGTGCTCTGTTGTGTGTGTGAAAACAATGTGTTTAAAGGAAGAAATTGGTTATAAAACATATTTAGCAACTAGTAAAATCAGTGCCACTGTCCTCCTGAAATGTGCTTGTATTCTACCACAGGCCTTCACACTCGTTCCTCTGTACTGCAGAACGTGTTCCTGTGACGTAGTCGCAGTGCTGGTTCCTAGCACTAGTGAATGCTGCCTCACCTCATCTCCATTTCAGCGACCAAGGGCAGGATTCATTGTGGCCTTATCTCTGTTTTAAACTGTTTACTGGCATTTACTTGCAAATCTGTTTACCTTTGTGTGTGCAAAATTTTGGGTTATTGTGTTGTGGCAGGAATCGTTTCACAGTGTTTTTGTTAGAAGCACATAAATATCTTACAGTACAGCTTAGTTCAAGAGCCACAGATTTTTATCACTAATTAGACTGAGAATTAAAATAAGCAAGATACATATATCAGATTTAGAGGGTATTCAAGAAACCATGATAGACACACAGCAGGCAAACCAGAACAAGCTTTTTAACCTTCAAAGACTATTTAAAATAGCTTTTCAGAACTTGACACGTGCTTTTATACTCATTATTTTAAATTTTTTTACATATAAATGCAATACTTTTTATATTCAGTTTCTTTACATGCGGTAATTTTGCCCAATAGATATAACGTCCCTTGACTTGTAAAGATTTATCCTAATATCTGCTGTTCTACGCACTACAGCCAAGTGGGTGAAAAAAGAGCCTATTCTGCTTACAATACCATTTTAAACCACATTTTTTCATTTGGCTTGTGGCTCTCTTGTTGCCAGTAGTTGTTCTGTAGTACAGAAATGGTCTTCCAGGTCCTTACTGTTGTTAATACGTCCAGTTGTTCAGATATATTATCTTCCTGAACTTTTTTTCTGTGGGGTGATAATTGTTACATATATTGGCCTTGTGAGCTGTTAACAATTTTCATGATATTAACAATATCTCAAGATTTTGATAAAACTACTTATAAAATGTTTCACTATGAAACTCTTATAACTGTTCAAGTCTAGCTGTTAAGTCTGCTGTTAATTCTATATACATAGAAATTGAGTCTGTGTTCAGAATGTTGTTATAGTTCCAACTATAGGAAGAAGAAGCAAAGTGAGTGCTCTAATTTAGCTATGCCTTTTCTTGTTTTCTGTTGCTTGGAACTGCGTTTCAGAATTCAACACTAGAGTAGTCTTTAATAATCTGCTGCTGATGTTTTTCCTAATTATTTGCCCCAAGGGCATCCCACAACTATGTTAATAATGGTATTCTGTACTTGTTTTCATTGCACAGACTTAAAAAATCAGAATGGTTACCTGAAAAGACATTAACTCAAGACATAAATTGATGAATTCCCCATATAGAAAATATTAATGCCTAGTGAATTAAATTATCTATTGGAAGTAAGCTACCCACTTTTGGATTAAATGACTCCATAGCGATGTCCATCTTGAAACTAAGATGCTCTTCAATTATTAACCATATTATTTACTTTCTTTCAAAAGCAGCTGTGTTTATGAGTACTGAACAAATGTGTATACTTTCCTGTGCCAGACTTTTGACTTTGTTTTCAAGCACTGTACTGTGGGATTGAGTGGCAGCTTTGTTAGAAAAAGAAGTATATTAGGGTTTCTACTTAACCCTTTTAGGACTGAACAATTTCTGCCCTTTAGAAGCTGTAAAATAAATGAGCTGTTCTAACTTCGTAAACATTCTGTCTGTGTTCAGCACTGCATTTGCCCCATCTGGAGGTGCTATGCTAATGTCATTTTTAAAAATCCTGTAGCATGTGTATACATTCAGTCTTAAAAGGGTTATTTTTACAAACTGTGCACCTGTAAAGTTTCTTAGCAATAAAGGTAGAAAAACGAGCAAGTTTTTACCATAATTTTGTAGAATTAATTGCTCAGTTCCATATTTCATCAAGAAAATCCCTGCAATATGGGCAGTTTTGAGGATTAAATAAAAGTGAAATGTAAACCACATAAAAGTGTTCTTGTCAAGTGTACTCTGTGTGTGTATGTGCATAAACTGTCGGGTTTCATTTCTTCTACAAGGCTAAAGATAAAATGCCATGTTACTGTTGCTGTGACAAACATAACTGAACATCTGTATGATGATACAAAAGTACTTATGGTTTGAACAGGTGTTAAAACTTGCCACATTTTGTTGTTTTTTTTTTTTTTAATGTTGACCAAGCAATATGGGTTTGGTTTTTGTTTGTTTCATTTGTTTTGGGTTTTTTCCCCCCAAATGAACAGTGAGGCCATCTATGGAACCAGAACAGCACAAAAGAAGACCAACCCTGGGAGTGAAAATCATCAGTACTTGTGAGGCTGTGCGCACTGGACTCCACTTAAATGGGATATGGAATGTCCACCCAAAAATCTAAATCGGTTTCATTTTTGCTTGTATTATTGCTGAAGTTAGATAAGAAACTGTTTTTTAATAATGTGTAAAAAAAAGTTTCACTTTTTTATATAATTTATTAAATAAGAAAAAATGAACTGTGTTTAATTGTTTAACTTTAGCAACTTCATTTTTGCAACTAATGCACCTGACTCCTTTTAATCTTATTCTTAGTTGCAGAATGTCTGACATTTCATTCAGTTGGTTGATAGCTAGAGCCAGAAATTCAGCAAATTAACTTATTTCTTGTTTGAACAGAATAGTAGTGCTGTCAGGCACAGCTAGAAATTATGCACTCTCAGTTTGCAAGCACAAGTGGCACAGTCACTTCAAGAAAGTTTTTTAGATGGGAAGTGGGCATGGCAGAGAGAGAATATAGAATAGCAGAAGCCTGCAAGTACTAACTAGTGTTGTATTAAACTAATTGAAGAACTACAAGTTTACCTGTAAGAGTGAGAAGGGGTTAAAAGTGGTTCTTAAATAGGAGAGCCAAGGACAATGACAAAAACAACAAAAAAACCACTGGCTTTAAAGAAGGATTACAGATGCTTTTATTGAGACATCTGCAAGGTGTTTGCCATTAAGATGCATAAAATAGTCAGAGACTCAACAGTTGTAGAACTTCTGTTTTTTGAAACAGAGACATTATGGACATTATTCTCAAAATTATTTCCAAGACCCTTCAGTCTTTTTCTGAAATGGTAAGTTATTCTTCTGGAACAGAGTAGAAATTAGATCTGAGGTTTTTGCAAAGAGAATGGTCACTTGCTAAACTTTAATGTTGGTGTCATTGGGAGAAACTGCATGGGATGGTCTTAGATGAACAACTATGGATAGAAAAAAAATCTCTTCAGCCAAGCCTTGGCAATTAGCTAAATCAGTAATCTCAATAATAGATCCTAGTAGGATTCAGAAGGATTCAGAGAAGAAGATTAAAAGGAGAGTGGTGTGAGGGCTAGAGGAAATGATTCATTTAGTGTTCACAGGTAATATGTCCCCTTTCAGAACATTCACAGCTACTGAACTTGGTCAAGTAGTTGGCTTTTCATGGTGCACAGTTAAGATTGGAGTTGCATGCTCCTGAGCAGGGTGGAAAAAACTGAGTGTCTCTGTAAAGGGTATTTTTTTCTGATATCCAGTAGTACAAGCTGAGTGTTAGATCAAAAGCATGAGGAGTTATAGCCTATATTACTTAAAAATACTTCTGTTTTGAATGTAGACTTTAATGACCTATGCTAAAGTGAGAGAAGCTGAGAAGTCTTGATTCTTTGTAGGAGCAAACTTGCAAGTTAACTAGTGTCTGAGAAAAATCTGATTAAATCTTTTGAATTTGACATCTTTCAGGTTCTGCTACTTCGAGTATGGAAAGGGATGGTTAAAAGTTGGATATTGTCTGTTCTGTGTGCTCGTGCCTTTGTATTCTAGTCTCAGTTCCCTTATTTTTCATGTGTACTTTTCCACATCCTTAATTATGTTTCAGTTTTTCTCAGAATGTGTAAATCTTGCTGCATAATTTAGAAGAGGAGTTGGTTTTAAGTAAGGTGAACTCCAGCTTTTGAGACTACACGCTGCCATCTCTTGGTGCTGTTTCTACTGCTGGACTGTGGGGTGTGGAGAAAGAAATGTTTGTTTTTTAAGCTGGTTGTAGATACATGGAGAGGAAGGTTCTACAGACCTGGCCCTAAAGATCTACAGGTTTTTAGTTGAGGGGGGCACAGTTTAGAACCATATAAAGTTGTAAATTCTTTTAATTTAGAAACCCTTTGCTTTTTATTTATCTTTTAATTGTATTTTCTGTCATGTTGCCCCCTCATCTATGTTCATTTAAACCTTCAGTCTTCTCTCTTGTTCTGTTCACTGGTAAAAGTTTATTTCCACTTCTGTGAATCCCAGTGGGTGTGTTCACAGGCAGCTGGGGCCCTGTGCTATTGCAGCTACTTCTGTGCCCAACCTCCATTTCATCTTTCTGCTTTAGCTTCTCCTGAGTGACTTGACCTGGAAGCCTTTGGCATTTACAACTAACAGCAACTGCATTCATATGATCACTGCTATACCAGTACATGACAACATTTAAGTAAATTGCCACCTATTGGCCATCAAAATAAGGATTTTGATACAGAAGCCACAGACCATATGATCAGAATCCTTCCAAGAGCTTCATAGTTCTGTTTGGAGAATAACCTCACCAGTTACATGAAAGATAGAAGCACAGATCTATACATACTGTTTTCTGTCTTGAAATTACCTGTTTTAGTAGCTAGCTGGTGACAAACAAAAGCTTAGTTCTTAAAATCTCCAAGGGAGTTTTGGAGACTTGTTTTTTGTTTTTTTTAATGAGACAGTTTGTTCTAGTGTTTCTTCTTGATTTTGATAATTCTAATAAAATTGTACATGATCTGTTAAAATCCAGCCAAGGTATCTGCTGTGAAATGGGATGTGATCCTGAGATCCACGTTGGTGGTGTCACTATGCATATAAAATGTGACAGCAGTGCCTTCCAACTTCAGTGGTCTCTGTCCAAGTATCTGTATGATACTCCTGTATGTGCAGCGTAATTGCAGAGTTTAGTTCAGGGCTAATTATAAATACTTCCTTATCTGCATAAGCTTGTCTTGTGCAACACCATGTAGATACACAACATACAAA